GGATATATTTTTTGTGATAAAACATCCAAATAAATACCATGTGATTTTATTTAGGACATTATTAAATATCATTCTTAATAAACACACAGAAAATCTTTAAGAACTCATGAATTTTTTTCTTGAATATAAGTATTAAATGTTTAAAGAAATTCCTGTTAGTATTTTTATAATCATCTCAAATTAACTATAGTTAAAACTTTCTTTTTTCTATCACATGTTTTCTCTTTCTCACCTGTGGATACATAGGCATAAGTAAGTAAATAATATCATTCTAATACAAGGGCATTAGAAAATAGATGTGATAGAATATATTAAATGGTATTTTACTATAACTACAGTGATCTTCATCTTTTACCACAGAATCATTTTCTTTTAAAAGGAAAACTTTATCTTCCACATCCAATTTACTTTTGGTGTCTTGAAATGCCTGAGCTTAAAACCAATATTCCCAGTGACAACCCTGGCTTTCAAGTTATCCTTGTTTTTAATTGAATACAAAAAATATTTATAGATTCCCTTAAATTATAAATTATGTGATATCATTATTTAGATCATTTTGTCCAAGAGAGAGCAAATCAAGACCAGATGTCCACAAAATCAATGACCAAGTAATGTGCAGTTAAATGAATTTTGACATACTTTAAAAATGTCTCTCCAAGATCAGAAAAGATAAAAAGTGTTGACTGCCAGATTATTCCAAACTGTCAGCACTTTCTGAATCACTCAGATGGGACTGAAACTCTAGGTCCATCACTTAGCTTTCTTTTTTAGAACTTGTGTATTTTTGCCACATGACATGTTAACAACTTTAGTTTTATACATCATTTTATTGCCTAAACTATTACCTTGATTTTTCAATGTGGCTATTTAGTTCTTATTCAAAATATCCCCCCTTTTATTTCCATTTTTAATGGAATGTAAATATTAAACAATTACTAAAATAAATTTGGTATTCTGTTTGCACTGGAGAGTAAACCCTAATTAGAGACAAATTTAAACTCCATTACCCAAACTTTCTGGAGGAAGGTTCCCCAAGCTTTCAATAGAGGCACTTAATTTGTGTTCTTTGGCTTTTCCAAATTTGTTTGTATCTCAAAGCTACCTATGATTCACCATTTACAGAGGAGCAAATCTTCAACGACATTAAAGCCATATAATTTTAATGTAAATATTCTCAATAAGGGAAGTCTTTTTCTAAAAATTAAATGAAAGAAATACCAGCAGCTCCTCGGCCAATTGGCATTATTTATAATGTTTTAAAATTAAGTTAAAATTTAAACAGAAAGATCATCTCTCTTCAGGATTATAGCATAAATTCAAATGTGATTTTGAATTTTGTGAGAAGTCTCCCTCTGTGTTTGTGGACTGTTAATTCTCATAATCTGAAAAATAAAATACCTCTTTCTGTATTCTTTTGCAAAATTTCTCACAGATCAGAGTACTTTTAGCTCTAGGCCAGAATTATCGAGATGAAGGATAGTGGAGATATACTGATTCAGATACAGCCAAGGATCTTTTATGCATAACTGTCAGCTCTGAGCATCCTCAAGCAAGGCCAAGGATACAGAATCAAAGGCCAAGTTGCTTGTCTTTAATTTGGAGCATTGTGATTTATACATGAGTGAACTGTTATGTGAAGACCTGGATACTTTGCTGTATCAAACTAACTGGGGCGGGGGAAAAAAAGCAGTCTAGAGACTGACACATCTTTTTTTAATAATTTTTTTATGCTACTCCCAACTCTCAAGATTTTACTGCCTTATCTTTTTGAGAATAGGAATTTGAAAATAATGTTTTGCTTCAGTAAATTAGTGTTGTTTGGCATTTTATATTTTGAAGTAGTAATGAGAACCATAAAAACATCTTTCTCATGAAAGCTGTCACAAATTGTTTCCTTACATTTCATTATCTTCTTTTCTTTCAAGTCTTTTCCTTCTCTACCATTTTCAACAAAGCAGGGGAAATAACTCACTCTCAGAAGACAGGACAAATCAGCAAGTTGTGATGCCCTTTTCTTCCAATACCATTGAGGCTCACAAGCCAGCTCATGTAGATGGATCACTTAAAAACAACCAACAGAAGTCTACAAGAAAATTCACATTTCTATCCGATAAGGACGGCTTAAGTACTTATAACCCCCTTTATAAGGAAAATATAGGTCCAATATCAACACATTCAGACATTTCCTTGAGAACAGATTTTGAAGACCCATTTTTAGTGGAAACACAAGTCAAGAGTCAGTCCCTGAGGGGCCCAAGAGAAAAGATTGAGAGGATGTGGAACCAGCCAGTCAGCTTACCTAGGAGACTGATGCGGAAGGTTCCAAACAGACCAGAAACCATAGATCTGATGCAATGGCAGAACACCTGGCAAAAAGCTGAAAATAAAAGCAATGGAACCTACTCCAACAAAAATGGTAGTAGTAATCCATTGTTTACAACCGAAGATGCATATCTGACTGAGAGAGAAGAAATAAGGCTAGGTGAACCACTGGCTATGAAAGAAACAGAACAATTGAAATCTCTAGCTTCAGGCTCATCATTTTCTTCTTCTTGGTCTCACCTCTCTTTCTCCACTTTGCCAACTATTTCAAGAAGTGTGGAACTCAAATCAGAGTCTGATGTTATCACTTCTCCTACTGAATGCTCTTTGGAACTTTCTCCTGCAAGGTCTTGCGTTTCAAATTCTTCAGTCTTTAAGAGACAAACACCCCCGTGTATGTTGGATATTGAAACCAAAAGGAACGTTTTTGAAAATCTTTCCCATCCATGTAACATCTCTGTCTTGTCTCTTTCCCCTCCTTCTCCTCCACCTCTTCCTCCTCCTCCTCCTCCTGCTCCTTCTCTTGTCCTAACTCCCTTTTCTTTTTCCTTTCCTCCTCCTCCTCCTCCTCCTCCTTGTAGTCCTCCTCCTCTTCCACCTCTTCCTCGTTCTGTTCCTACTATTTCTCCCCCTGCTTCTTTTTCTCTACCCCGCTTTCCTCCTCTACCTCCACCACCTCCTCCTCTTCCATGTCCACAGCCTCCTTCAGCTTCAGCTCTATCCACAGAGGGTGTTTGTATACCAGATATTAAATGTACTACATATATAACTCCTGCCAAGGAAATCAAAGCTGCTACAATGCACCTATCCACATCAAAATCAGTGTGTAAGACAGACCCTCAAAAAGAACCAAAAGGCATCCTCAAACATATTAAAAACTTAGCAGAACTTGAAAAATCAATAGCTAACATGTACAGTCAAATACAAAAGAACTGTCCACCCACAAACATCTCAAAACTTCAAACTTCTTGCACTTCAGAGATAACAAATATGGGAATCACATCTGAACAAAACCAGGAGAATGCAAACAATACTGTGGAGGGAATTGAAAAACAATCGCACAGTCAATCTACTGCACTGTAATGTTGATTTTCTTATTTTAACTGTGAATCTTTTGTTGACCATAACTTCAAGCTGAACATCAAATTTGACCATCAAAGAAGATTCTACTGTTTTACCCCAAACTCAATGCAATGCTGTTTTTTCCCATAGTTTTAATTTAAAAGATTATTAACTTCATCACTACTAACTCATGTAGTAGATTTGCGTTAATTTTCTTAACTACAAAGTAGCATTATTTGTCCTACATTTATTTGAAAAGTAAGTAATTTTAATCTGTTTTTGATGGGGAGATATGGGCATGAAAGTTAGATACCCAACCTCACAAAAATGATTGTTTATTATGTTGATGCTTTCATTTTATTTTTTGATCATTGTTTCACATGAATGTTCCAGGAAAAGATAGCCTATTAAAAATATGCTAAAAGTCATAACATATATTCTGTTTTTCTTTTTTTGTTTTGTTCTCTTGAAGCCTATGTATTTGGTAGGAAGAAATACTTCCAAAGTAATATGCTATGTACTTAGAAATGTAGGGGATGACAGGCTTAGGTGTTTCAAAATAAACCCCAGGTGCTATAATATGTAGTCATCTGTTTTCTTTTAACAACATCCTTTACTCTGGCTTGCTTTTGTCTTACTAGTATGCGCATAAATTTGATAAATCTTTTACTTTTTTCAATTGCTGTCTTATTTATTTCTCATTGTGCATTCCCTTCTCTTCTTTATAATGCAAATAAATCTTGAGATGCTGACTTTTGTAAGACATTTCATTGTTCCCACAAGTGTTTAAAGTGCTATTTAATTTTGCTCTGTCACATTATTATATCATCTCTTTAATTATAATTTTAAAGATTCTCCTTCAAAGAAAATATTTATGTCCAGTTTAATAAATGAAATAATATTAAATTTAAATACAAAATCAAGAGGTATTATATTTGGTGAACTATCACCAGTTTTATCTAGGCCTTTTGCTCCTTGTTTTCAGCAAGAAGATAATAAATTTATACTATGGAAATAAATTTCTTTAGTTCAAATAGTTGTTAATATCTTAGAGCTCTATTCTTGTTAAATTCCTAAAACATTAGTTAAACTAAGGAAAATCTTCTTAAATTCTTCACTGAGCATATTTTAGCCCAATTTCATATTTATACATGCATATACATATTATTATATACAATGATATATATGCATGTTTGTATATGTGTATATAATGTATAGTATGTGACCATCAAATAATTGCTTTGTTTTGCCCATAAAACATGTGGAATGAATTTCATTTAGTGGAAATCCCTATTTTTGAATGGAAGTACAATTATTTTTTTTATCTCTGGAATTTTAATATTTTAAAAGATATGTCTGCCCAGAGAAAGGTACATTTTCAAATTAGCTCTATATGTATGTTCCAAGAAACAGCAGAAATATTGCAAATAATCTATGATTGTTATCATAGATTCTCTTATTTCTTTGAAATAACAGAAACTTCCATTCAAGTTAAGCTTGATAGTTAATTGATTAAGTATATTCACATAGTTTGAGGGGCATGCATTTTGCCATCTTAAAGATTTGTTCAGCCCTGATATTATCTGACATTTCTTTGAGAATTTGATCTGGCATTACTAATTAACAAGGTTATATTTTTAAAAAAATCTGTAAGTTTAATTATTTTCATTAGCTCATCTGCTTCAGATTCTTTTCATCCGAAACAAGAGTAATTTCTTGCTCGGGGTTCTTGAACCTGATTTTTTTCTCTCTTTCACTGAAAAACTTCAGTTGGAGTTTTTGTTGGCAGCTGGTCATATGCATGAGAACTTGTGCTAGTTGGCGGACTCTGACAAGGTATTTTTCACAATTGTGTGAGCATTTAATGT